ATCGTGGCTGAGTTGAACAGACTGACGCAATACCTTTCGCAACTTTGCTCGAATCATGTGAGCAGGTAGATAAACGTCTAAGCCCGCGTTGTGGTCCCCTCGGCCTTCATGAAAAGGCCTCCTTACTTTGCTGCAACCAGCACCTTGGCCGTGGTCCCGGGAGGAACTGGGACTCTGGCTGTGAGCCCCAGGTACTGGCTCAGCTTCTTGTCTATCAGATTGCCGTAGTCGCGAGCACTGGCGGGTAGACCCTCGAGTGACTTGAGTACCCTGGCGTGCTTCTCGTAACGTTTCACCGACGTGTCCGCGGCCCAGCGGCCGCGGCGCTTGATGGCCTCCAACGATCGAGTCTGTCTGAGAGCATCGTCGCTGGCGCCTCCGTGCCTCATCATGTACGGGTGGAGCTTCGCCTGTCCCAGGCCAGCGACCTCGCACACCCTCTTGAAAAGATTGGAGAACTTGCGATAGTCGAATGACCACACCTTGTTCTGAGGGTTGCGTTTCTTCAGGGTGGCAAACCGTGGGTACAGGTATGTCAACTCTACGCTGTCCAGTAGGATGCTCTCGTCGAACTCCTTCGTCTTGGTGGGCACCGCCTCCTCCTCTGGTGCAAGCAACAGCGCCCAGTGAGAAGTCCCTGACCCCGCCAGTGGCGGCACCAGCTGATGTACCCGAAGACCCAGACACTCGCTCGGCCGCAAGTAAGTCCGAAAGAGAAAGACGAGGCACTGTGCGAACTCCAGCTCGTTGATGTGCAGCGCAGCTCCGACTAGCGCGCGCAGGCCGATCCACGGAAGAGGGGCCCTGCTCAGGCCGGGCGCCAGGCGGCGAAAGCCCCGTAGCGAGTGCTTGGCCCTCTCTAGCGTCTTTGAGCTCCTCAGGCCAGGCACCCGATACTCGAGGGCTGCGATGACCTTCTCTCCCGAGTCGTGGTTGTGGCCCGCGAAGTAGAGCTCCTCCAGATACTCCAGCATAGCCCTGCTGATGTCCGAGCTCGAATTCAACGTCATCCCGTTGGTGCTGGCCCAGTCCTTGAACTCCTGGAAGTACCTGTCGTACATCATTGCCGAAGGACGAGTCACCTTGTTGACCTCCAGAAAATATTGGCCGAACTGCCTCGCATGCATTGCTTCGTCCAAGTGCTCGCGCCGTCTGCGCTTTGCCCGCTGAGTGCGAAGCTGCGACGTGCGGTCCATCCCGGCCTCTGTCACAGGCCTCTTGGCGGGCATGGGTAGTCTCTTGGCCAGCCGCATCTTCTGAGTCGGAGCCGCTGGAGTCGATGAATTCGGGTAGCCCATCGTGGAAATCCTCGAAGCCATAGCCTGGTGGTCCCAGCGGTTGAGAGCGCCCGCCGAGCGCCCAGTCCCCGTCGTCGAACTCGCCGATGGGGTGCTGGCTGTCTGTGGACCGGGCAAGCGCCTCGACAGCAGACTCGAGCGCAACACGCGCCTCGGCGTCTCGGACGACCCAGGGGGGGCGAGCATCCCGCGGCCCGCCGCCGCCCCGGACGGGTGGCCCCGTCTTGAGCCTCGAAGCGGCGTCGGCAGGGTTGAACTCTGAGGGAACCCACCTGGTGACGAAGTCTGAATCCGAGATCATGGACAAGGCAGCAAGTTGGCGACAATGTCTGTTGATATTTGCATTGCTGGCCCTGCCCTTACCCTGCGCCAAGACAACCCCCAAGTTGTCTCCCAAGAAGAGATGACGATGCGAGAAATGACGGGCGGAGCGGAGACGATTTCTGGCTGCAATGACGGTAGCACGGCCCTCTGAAGAAGTAATGCTCTCTGCGAGCCGCCAGCGCCCCCGCACCTTACGGCCCCACTCACTGAAGTCGCCAATGTCCCCACGACGAATGTCGAACAACTCAGGTGGAAGCTCATCCGGGGGACAGTCTGGGTCTGGCAAGGACTTGATATGATTGTCGGTCTCGGCCAGGGCACGCTGTCGGGCCTGAACCGCATCACCGACTGCAAACCTCCAACGTTCACTCTGGCGGCCCCAACCTCGGACGGTCTCCAGCGGGAAGTTCCGATTCACGATGCCGAACCCCCCGTTGTCGATCGCATTGGCGCCCTCGGAGTCTGAGGCCGTGACCACTGTAGCCCATGGCCTCTTCGTGTCGGCGTAGGCGAGCGGGAGTAAGACCATCATCCACCGAAGCTCCTTCGACACAGCTGGCCAGAGGCGAATGCGCCTATGACCCGCGACGTCAATGAACCTGTAGATGGCGCGCGGGATACTGAGCAAACACCGACGAAGGATAGCAGACCAGGTAAAATGGCCCACGATGCGGTGAAGGAGCTCTCCAGAACAGAAACCTTCGTCCAGGATGCCCTGAATGGCGAGGCGCACCTTCCAGCAACGGCGATGGCCGACTGAGATGCGCCCACTGGCCCTGTCCAAGGTCATCCCGGTGAACTGAGCCTCGGGAAGACCGTGCTCGAGCTCCTTGCACTGTAGGCCATCGGCGGCCAACTGTGCGTACAGCCTGCGGGCCATGCCCCTGACGACGTCGTCATCAGTGCCCACGACCCCAGCGTTGTCCACATAGATGGCGGTGCCGAAGCCGTCGCCAGTGACGTCGGGAGCCTGCTTCTTATCCAGCAAGAAGGCCGAGGGTGGCACCCCCGCTCGAAGAGCGCTGGCCGTGACCATGGCCTGACAGAAGTACAGCGCCCAGGACCAGCCCATCGCCATGACCTCCAGGTGTGGTGTGACGTAGCCTGTGGACGCGAGGCCCAGCTGGTCACACAACCTGGCGTCCACGCGGCGAAGTTGGCTGGCCGAAACTCTGGGGAGAGCGAACCAGTCCGAGACCCCTGGCGGCGCCTTGCATCTGTAGAAAGCGTTATCAACGTCCATCTGAGACAGCACCAGGTCATCCGTGACCCCGATCTCCATGGAAACCCAGGACGAGGGAGTCGGGAGACGAGAGTGAGCTGGCTCATCGAACATCATGTTCACCGCTCTGGTGTCCAAAATCATGCGTAATCTGCCATCCTTTTTTGCAGCAAAGAAAATGCCAACAGTGGCCGACCGCTCAGGTCGGAGAGACACAAGTTTAGCCCGTACCATCTGCATGATGAAATTGGCATAGCGTTTCTGATCTTTGACAAGTGCAGGATCACTATAAGGTTGAACAGTGCTAGTGGTCGCGGTCGAGTGGGAATCTACTCTGGTCCGCAAGTTCGTCGAAATAGACCTCCAGCGTTGTAGAGCCAGACCGGACAGCACCTGCTCGCCGTCGGCCAGACCGCCCATCCCGGGCAAAGAGACTAAGTCAGGCTGGAAGCTGCGCCGAGGATCCGTGTCGGAGTACCCAGGGCGACTGCCGCCAAGCTCCGCAAGGGCTTGCGCGGCTGTGCAAGGAGGCGGTGGTATCGAACTATAGATGTCGGTCAGCAAGCGCACGCCGAGGTTCTGGGCCTCTGAGACCACGAGCCCTGGCGGAGGATGAATTGTGCAACCGTACATCTCGTTCAGACACTCCACTGCTGAATTTACCCAAGTCTGCCAATGCCGACGCATGTGAAAACGACGTCGAACAGCGCGGCACCCAGCGACCTGGAAACAAAATTGACCTTCTCGGGGGTAAGGCTGCGCAAGAGGCAACAACTCTCGCGACGCTGGCATCCCTGATTTAGGCGACTGGACGGGACCCCAGCCGCCTGCGGCTCTCAGGTCTTCTGGGCTGCCGCGGCTGCCGCTGCAGTGGCCTCTCTCTGGGCCTTGGCAGCGGCCTTGGCGGCGGCCCTGTCGCATTTGCCCTTGCCCTTTCCGTCGGTGATGGGAAGACCTGGCACATCATGCAGAGACGATAGCGGCGGTGGCCGCTGGGAGTGGGATGCTTGTCCGGCCTGCAACCTCCTCTCCTCGTTGAGCTTCCTGGATTCTTTTGCGATGGTCGACTCGCGATGCAACTCTGATGCCACATACTCCTCAAGCAGCGGGCATAGCATCAACTGGCCCCGAGTCTCGCCCACCCCCAAGTACAGAAACTCGCCCTGCAGGATGTTGTCGATCTGGCTGTCGGTACGGAGGAGCCTGTGCTTGTAGCGGTACTCCGCCAGTTGAGCACGGCGAAGCAGCAGCTCCACAAAAGCAAGCTCTGCGGCGTTGACTTGATCGTGCGTCAAGGCATACTCCACCGCTTTCATGGCCGTCTCGTGGTCCGAGACTCCAGGGTCAGCAACTGAGAGAGCACATGTCGACTTCCACCACGAATGACGAGCACGGGGATGTCCGTTGGTTTGCAGTATGAACTGTAGGCACCACTTGGTAGTGCGTGGGCCCGTGAGGGGCCATGAGTCCCACTCCGTCTCCGATGTGAGGTCAACCGCGACCTTGAAGTCCTTGAACCTTTTCCCGAGCCGATCCCTGGTCACCTCCAGTATGCGAGCGTCCAGATCTACATCGTCCCCGTCGTCTCCGCCACTGGTGGCTAGATCACGATCAGAAATCAGCTTGGTGACCCCGTCCTGCATGAGAATGCCGAAGTCGCCGCAGATGGCCCAGCCCTCTCCAGCTGGCTGGTCCAGAACCTTGCCCTCAGCAGAACTGATGTCCAGCCAGCGCCGAAGCGGCGCTGGCAGGCGCCCCGTGCCAAAGATGAGACCGAGGTCGCGGCCGACCCTCAGCGCCACGGCATCCTCGGGGCTGCTCGCCAGCGGCAGCAGCGGAGGCGTAGCAGCACCAATGGGAGTAGCCGTACCGTCCGCCCCACCTGCAGCAAGGTCTACCTGGACGATCGGTGCCACGGGGTCAACGTCGTCGTCGATAGCGGGAATCGGTCTCCGAAGATTCTGAGCCCGACATGCTGCTCGAGCTCGTTCGCACTGAGCTGGGCGTGGTATCTGTCCAAATTCGAAGACCCGTCCCCAGTGCGACTGTGGCCCTAGGCCCTGCCCGACGATCGGCGTCCCCTCGAGATCGCAGGGCGCGACGGCGAGCAGTGGTGGACAACTCAGCTCCTCCGGGTATATATCCCCAGTCGGCGTCATTACCCATCGAACTGTGGCGGCTGCTACGTCGGGCGGTTCGCCCATGATCCTCTCCAAAGTGGCGGCGTCGCTGTACTCCAAAATCAATCTCTTGTGCCAGAGCCGTCTCTCGGACTCGTATTTCACGATGATCTCGCGGCCTGGGCGAAGAAATCTCTGAGCTAGGTCCGTCATGTCGGCGGCAGTACACAGCGTGACCAGCCGCCCCGACCACGATCCCTGCAGCGAACGTCACCGCTGAGAAGGCGTACGGCGAGCCCACGTAGGTACTCTGCACAGCGCAAGTGAGCGCGGATGAGGCTATCGGCGAGAGGGAAGGCCAGACCACCTGGCCCGCCTCCCACAGGGCGTGGGCTGCCGTGAGAAGCATGCACCTCAGGCGTCGCCGCCCCAAAAAGACTTGAGCGTAAACAGTTGCGGCCAGGCACCGAGAGAGAAAGACGTTCCGAGAACTGTAGCATATCCTGCCGGCCGGTCCTAAGCAGGCCCCAAGATGGGCCCATAAGACCTTCAGTAGCATCTCCATACGCCCTGGGGAGGCCCAAGATGGTGCAAACGCCACTGCCTAAGAGGGCCCCAGAAGCCCTCCCAACAACCCCTAGACACCCCAAGATGGCTGGATCCGTAGATATGGCGAGAGAATCAAGTCACACATACGCACAGATACTGGGGATATAGATCAACAGATCATCTGCAAAACCCAACCCCAGTCCTCACCAGTCGCCAGTACTTATCACCTGCAGGATGCTAGTGCAGGTCTGTGGATTGTTGGCCCACCCCCGGACCATTCCCCCCCGTCTGCGGAAGTCCCTCCTCCTTCTCCTCGCGCAAGTATCCTGGGAACTCATCTTCTTCCTCCTCCTCCTCCTCCTCCTTCTCCTCCTCCTCCTCCTCATCAGCATCTTCGTCACCATCACCAGCATCATCATCATCCTCATCCTCATCCATCGTAATCACCATCATCATCATCATCATCATCATCATCATCATCATCATCATCATCATGTTCAGCATCGTCTGTGTCATCGTCATCATCAAGATCATGATGATGATCATCAGCATCATTAACAGCATCATCATCATCATCATCGTCATCATCACCATCATCATCATCATGATCATGATCATGATCATCATCATCATCATCAGCAGCATCAGCATCATCATCATCATCATCATCATCATCATCATCATCATCAGCATCAGCATCATCATCATCATCATCATCATCATCATCATCATCATCATCATCATCATCATTATTCCGCCCCCCTTCTCCCTCCAACTTTCTCCTGCTCCCCCGTCCTCCCTCCTCCCTCCTCTCTCCTCCCTCCTCCTTCCTCCTCCTCCCTTCTCCTCCTTCTCCTCCTTCTCCTTCTTGTTTGTTCTTTTTTGTTCTCCCTCCTCCCTCATTCATCCCTCCTCCTTCCTCCCTCCTCCCTCTTCCTCCCTCCTCCTCCTCCTCCTCCTCCTCCTCCCTCCCTCCCTCCCTCCCTCCCTCTCTTCATCCCTCCCTCACTCCCTCCCTCCCTCCTCCCTCCTCCCTCCTCCCTCTTCCCTCCTCCCTCACCCTCATCCCTCAATTATTTCTCCTTATAGCTAGTTTCTCCCTGTCGCACCCCGAGGCCTGTTTTTAGGGAGGGCCGGGCGTTTCGCCTGAGACTTCCTCACAACTAGTGACTCTGAAGCTTGTGGCTACTGTTTCATAGATGGAGGGCGGGCTGTTTACAACATTCTCGCCTCAGCGCCGCGTACTTTCGTTAAAAACTGCAACAGTTTCACAGATTGAGGGCGGGTCACTTTCAAAATGTGGCTCTCGCATTCGCGCCGCACACAACCGCTGTAATCATGTGCAAGAGCTTCACGGATTAAGGGCGGGTCGTTTTCAAAATGTGGCTCACGCCTCAGCGCCGCGCACAATCGCTTTAAACATTTGCAAAAGCTTCACGGATTGAGGGCGGTTCCTTTTCGAAATGTGGCTCTCGCCTCAGCGCCGCGCACAATCGCTTCAAACATTTGCAAGAGTTCCACGGATCCCCATGATCAGCGTACCTGAAATGGTGTTTTGGAAAAACTCAGGACTATGAGGGTGCAACAGTTAAGCTGGTTCGCGGTATTAAGGTCCCAGGAATGGCGTCCTGGCACGATTCAGGATCGTGAAGACACAACTGTCAGGTTGAGCCGTGGCTTTGGAATCCCGAGGACAATTATTTGGCATGATTCAGGGTCTTGAAACGGTTGTCTTCTAACGAGGCAGTTCCCTCAGTGGAAATGAACCGTTGGAGGGGGCTGTGAAGAAGAGGGAGCTTGTAGGGACGGTATATTTCCAACATCGTTGATGTCTCTTGGGTTTAAACTGGTCCCTCCCCCTCCTCCTCCTCCTCCTCCTCCTCCTCCCCCTCCTCCCCCTCCTCCTCCTCCTCCTCCTCCTCCTCCTCCTCCTCCTGCTCCAGCTCGAAGAACGTAGATCCAGACCTCAGAAGCTGAGCTCGTGCCCGCAGGGCATGGGAAACACACACACACACAACGCGTGAGGCGCACTGGGCTTTGGCCTCCGAGCTCGGCGGAACCACCGCACCCTCTGGCGACCCCCCGCCGGGCCGGCGCGCACCGTGCAGCAGCGAGGAGGTGGCAGAACGGAGCGGCCTGCAAGAAAACGCCCCGCGCCAACTACGCCAGCGACGACGACGACGACGACGACGACGACGACGACGACGACGACGACGACGACGACGACGAGGACGACAAAAACGTCGACGACGACAAAAACGATGACGACGACGACGACGATGGCCACGACGACGACGAGGACGATGTCGTCATCCACGTCTTCTTCGTCGTCGTCCGTGGCCCGTCTTCCGTCGTCCATCGCCCGTTGTTCGTCGTTCGTCCACGTCACCGTCGTCGTCGTCGTCGCTGCCGACTGTGTCCTGGCCCACGCCCACGACGCCGGTGACGCTGCCGTCGGTGTCGCGGCGGGTCGTGGCGTTGAGCAGGATGTCTATCTGCTTCCCGTCCTCGCAAAGGGCGAGCTGCGACTGTCGACGCTCATGGGGCCACACACTCCCGCGCTCCCTACAGTCGGGCTGCTGAAAGAAGGAACGCGAAATAAGGAACGAAGGGCCTTCTTGGCCCTGTAAGCGCCTCCGTGCCCCAGGAGGGCAAGAGGAACAGCACTGGAGGAGCTTAAGGAACATCGAGCCCCTTCCAAACCCAAATTGTTCCTTAGTTCAGCGTCTTGACTGTACCAACTCCCCCTGCGCTTCCGCAGTGCGGTCCAAACATATGGTTTGTCTCAACAGGAGCACCCCCGCAGGCAGCTCCACAGGTCTGGACATCCTCTCGGGGACCTGCTTCTCATCCTGAATCGTCTTGTAGGGGCTCGGGGGACTTGTGTAGAAACACAATCTGCCTACATATCATTTATCTGGGGTCCGCGCGGGTGTCCTGGGTCGGCGCTGCCACCCCCTCCCTGGCGCGCGGTGCGCTCCAGGGGCAGAGGCGGAGGCGCCGCCAATGGGCCCCAGCGCCGATCCAAGATGTTCACGCGGAACTCAGCGAAAGTGTACTGTAAGTGCGTATGTGTTCTTCGCTGTCAACTCATGGGAGCCTCGCACACCATCTTGTCGGCTCTTGCCAATCGACGCTACTCGATGCTAATCGGCGATGAAAGGACGCTAATCGATGCTAGCCGACACTAAATCAGCGCTATCTCATTGAATCCCAGACGCTAGTCGACGCTAAAGACGGAATTAGGAAGGTCAACCAGGCTTCCATGACTTGCTGCCGAATGTGTTCTGTGATAATGCAGAATCATCAGTCGCGTTTTGTTCCAAATCGCGAGGACAGGGCGCGTCCTTCGTCATCAGAGGGAACTCGAAGTTGGCGGCCTCGGAGCCCTGGCACGCCCTGGTCAGCACGGCCTGAACCTTGTCGAGGGAAGCATGTTTTCTCCAATCGAACGACGAGGCCAGGACGAGGATGATAAATTCGGGTGAGGATAAATCGAGGATCTCTGAGATCCAGCAGCTCTGGAGGATGTTGCGGGCACCGCGACCTTCTCAGAGCGTTCTGGAACGCTCCGAGAATGTTCTGGAAAGCTCTGGAACGGACTGTATCCTCGTCCTAGCCCCGTCCTGAATGATGGAATCATTCGCAGATGAAGTCGGCGCTGTTCCTTCTGGAGCTACGCAGCTTGTGTTGAAAGCAGGAGGGGGTGCAGCCGCGGCAGCGGCTGAGCCTCGAGCGTCCCAGGGGGGAGGGCCCTACGCGGGGCCAGGCGGTGGCGCCGGGGCGCCAGCATCAGATGCATTCGGTGACCCGTGGCTGTGTCGCTAACGAGAGGCATCACCCGTCGCATCGAAGAAACGACCCAGACATCCGCCTGCTCCGATTTTCGTTGGTGCGTGGACCCAGGAGGTCCAGACCACTTCCCCGGGACCGGTTTTCCGTCCTGAGTCGTTTTGCTGACGCTCCCGAGGCCCGGCGAGGGCCCGCGGAGGCCGAAAACTGGCCAAAACCGCCCGCTCCAATTTTTCTGGGGCGTCGGATCTCGGGGGAGGGGGCACGGGGGTGAGAGGAGGGGAGGAGACCGCAAACCGGCTTGGCCTGCGCCCGGACGGGCAGATCCCCAAGGCGGGCGGCAGCTCGCAGAGGGCGAGGGCGCGCCCGCGGCGCATATCCCCGCCAGCAGCGGCGGCCGCGGCGGGCGCCACACGCGGAAGAGATGCACAACAGGGCGCCATTGAAGCGGCCCTGGGACACACACAAATAAATACACACAAATGGCAGGATCCCCCATATTTTCCCATATCTTGTAAGTTTTTGTCTTCCCCCCCAGCTCCCATCTTTTCCCATATTTTCTTGGGGATCGGCGATTCATTGTGTCTGTGTGCTTTTTCCCCTCCTGAGCAATGCACCGAGCACGCGGGACCCCAGCGCGCCCCTGGCATCATGGTCACTTGGGCACTGTCTAACCGACCACTTTTGATGGGGGTGTGGGAGATTTCCTGCGGGCTTCGGGGGGTAGATCCCCAATTGGGGTGCCGGGATGGTGAGGGTCCGGATGGGGATGGGGATGGAATAAGGGTCGGTTGAACGATACTGGCCACTGCCACCGGCAACGCATTATTTTGGTGTGCTTGCAATGCAAAGCTGGCACCACCAATAAACGCACGGGCCAGTAGAAAACAAACTTCACACTGACCCACGCGAGCAAGATATCGGCGACAATCATATCAAGCAATTCGTGATGGTGGGACCTACAAATCGAAACGACAAACTGCCTTTGTGATCAAATCACTCCATCCAAAGCCGCCGACAAGTACCGCAATCGATCTGGGCCCGTCCAAGACGTCGTGCTTCGCAAGCACTGGCGCGACAAGTGTGAGACGTTTGTCGACGAATACGGCGCGCATAATTTACAAACTTTGCAAGGGACAACTTTGATCACAATGTCACGTAATATGTTGAAGGGGCCCTGGGACACACAAATAAATACACACAAATAAAAGGATTCCCCATATGTTCCCATATTTTCTGGGTTCTTGTCTTCCCCCCAACTTCCCATAGTTTCCCATATTTTCCTGGGAGTGGAGGATTTATTGTGCCTGTGTGTTTTTCCCCCTCTTGATATGTGAAAGGGGGGGCGAGAGGGTGGAAAGGGAGGAAGAGGACGACGAGGATGAGGAGGAGGGGGAAAGGGCGAGAACTGTAAGACAGGCGGCAGGGGAGAGGGGGGGAAGGGAGAGAGGGGGAGATGGGAAGGGAGGGAAAGGATAAGCAGGAGAAGGAGGATGAGGAACACGAGGGAAGAGGAGGGCCTTGCTGCGTCATGCGACGCGAGAGAAAGAAAGACAATCCTCCCTCCTCCTCCTCCTCCTCCTCCTCCTCCTCCTCCTCCTCCTCCTCCTCCCCCTTCTCCTCCTCCTCCTCCTCCTCCTCCTCCTCCTCCTCCTCCTCCTCCTCCCTCCTCCTCCTCCTCCTCCTCCTCCTCCCTCGCCACTCCCTCCCGTCCCCGATCCCCTGCCCGCCGAGCCCAGGTCTCAGAACCTCGGCCTGGTACTCGGTCATGATGAACTCGTCGACCAGGTGTCTCCCCATCGTCTCCTCCTGTCGGGCGTAGGAGGTTAAAGGGGGAGGAGGAGGAGGAGGAGGAGCAGGAGGAGGAGGAGGCTGAGGTGGATGTGGAGGTGTAGGAGGAGGAGGAGAGGTGGAGGAGGAGGAGGAGAGGAGGAGGGGAGGGGGAGGAGGGAGAGAAGGGAGGAGGAGGAGAAGGAGGATGAGGAGGAGGAGGAGGAGAAGGAGGAGAAGGAGGAGGAGGAGGAGCAGGAGTACACGCAAGTGGCCCCAGGCGAGGGTGACCTTCGGTGCGCGGCTTCGGGGGGCCGCGCGCGAGCCGAAGCCCCACAGGCACCGGCCAGTCGGAGGGTCAGCGCAGGCCGAGTCGAGACCACGGCAGCTCAGAACTGGTCCCCGGACACCCTCGGGCTCCTCCTCCTCCTCCTCCTCCTCCTCCTCCTCCTCCTCCTCCTCGCCTCCTCCTCATTCCTCCCCCCTCCTATTCTCCTCCTCCTCCTCCTCCTCCTCCCATCCTCCTCCTCCTCCTCCTCTCCTCCATTCCTCCCCTCCTCCTCTCCTCCTCCTCCTCCTCTCCTCCTCCTCCTCCTCCTCCTCCTCCTCCTCCTCCTCCTCCTCCTCCTCCTCCTCCTCCTCCTCCTCCTCCCCTCTCCCGGGGCTCAGAAGCACACAAGTTGCCCGAGCTGCGCCCAGCGCGGTGCGACGAGGCCCCCAGGAGGCCGACCCGTGCACCGGCCACACGCAGGAGGGGAGCCCTGGGCAGGAGAGCGACCCTGGGGTGCGGCGCCAGTGCGGCGGCCAGGCCGGGGCCCGAACGCACAGGCCACTGCTCGGGGGCGACGCCCCGCGAGCCCGCTCTCCGGGTGGCCACCTCCAGCGAGGGGGGGGGGGGGGGCTACTCCTGCGCACGGCCGGCCGTGGGCCCGCACCGAAGGCCACTCGGGCGACCGGGCCTCTCTCGCCCGCGGACTGCCAGGGCGCTGCAGGGGGGGGCGGGGCGGGGGGCCGCCCGCTGCAGCACTGCTGCGCGCGCGCTCGCCGCCCAGGGAGGAAGAGTCGCGCGCGCGGGGCCCCGGTGATGAGCCGCGGCGGGGCCCCGGTGGGAGGCGCACATGTGGGGCGACAAACGCTCTACAGATCCACTGCTCCCTGGCCGAGCCCATCCTGAACCCAACAGCGGTGCCCACGCGACGCCCTGCTGGCCTGGCCAGCAGTGCGTATACACAGGTCCTGGGCCCAGGAAGGGCCCGGCCAGGGAGCAGTGGATATGTATAGATTTCGTCGCCCGAACATGTAGGTACGTATGCACGGAGTTTTTCTTTTGGTGGGGAAGAGGGAGCACGACCACCAGAGTTCGACCCTTCCGCTATGTAGAGCCACTGTGCGAGTCGGAGAGTTGCCAGGCAAAGCCAGAAACTCCGCACAAGCCGACCTGCAATAGGCAACCTCATGCAGTGAACCTTGGCGTGGGAGATACACGCCAACAAAATAGCACCTCGAGCTACCTGTGACGGATACGGCCAGGGCGCTTTCCTGACACGCAGGCACCTACGGCACAAAAACCGTGCTATAAGAAATCTTGGGGCACAGTCTTCGTCAATCCTCGACGGTCCTGTGGATGCCGGGGGCAATCGGGGGACACTTTCGTGGGGCACCTGCCGGCAGGCCGACTGCGAGCAGGCCGGCCTGCCAGCACATACGCTACGGCACACGGGCCTTCGCCCGAAGCATACTGCACACATTTGGACGAAAACGTCTCCCGCTCGAGAGCCTGCCCCGAAGAAAGTCCTCTGAGCTGCGCGCGGTGGCGGTGGCGAACACAGTATTGACTGACGTGGGCTTCTGTCATCATTGTCCGCCTCCGTGCCTTCGGGCACGGAGTACACCCTGCGAAATGCTTAAGAAATCATGGGTTAAGAAATTCATAGTCTCAGAATTTGAATGAAACCCAGAATTTCTATCAAAATCTTAGGAATTCAATTGAAACATTAAGAATAATCGAGACTCTGGCCGAAAATGTAAGTTTTCTTGAGCATCGCCTGAGGTGTAGGCGTGTCCCCTGGTTCCTTGCTGTAGTCCCCAGCCCTGTGGATCCAGGATTCTTAACGGGCCCCGCCCTCCGCGGGCCAAACCTCCTGGGGTGTGGGGCGGCTTGTCGCGTGACTGTTTCCGGCCCCAGAGGGCCCCAAGACGGGTCAAGAGGGCCCCAAGAGGCCCCCAAGACTGTCCGAGAGGGCCCCGAGGCGCCGAACGGTTGGTCCAAGACGCCCAAGATGGCCCCCAGACGACCCACGAGACTTCCAAGACGCCCCAAGAGGCCTCCAAGAGACCTCTCAAGAGGGCCCCAAGATACAATACTCATTGATTTTCCATATGTCTTTGGAAGGTTTTGGCGTTCTCGCCATTCTGGCTTCCCGACGCTCCAAGACGGCCCAAGGGGCGCCCAAGATAGCCCCAAGATGGTCCAAGAGGCCTCCAGAAGAGCTCCCAAACGGCCCAAGAGGGACCCAGGACGGCCCAAGAGGCCTCCAAGACGGCCCAAGAGGGCCCCAAGACGGCTCTAAGAGAGGGCCCAGACGGGGCACCCAACGGTCATTTTAAGCCCTTGGCCAGAAGCCCCTAGGAGGCCCCAAAAGGCCGCCAAAAGGCTCCCAAGAGGCCATAAGAGGCCCCCAAGAGGCCCCCAGGAACCCCCAAGAGGCCTCCAAGAGGCCCCCAGGAGGCTCCAAAGTGGCTCCCAAGAGGCCTCGAAACTGATCCCTAGAGGCTCCCGGGAGCGCTCCTAAGAGCTCCCAAGAGAAGTATCCATGAGGACTCTGACCCACAACCCAGGCACGGTGGCGGGATGGGCCGAAGGACATTCGATACCTTGTCTGCGCTTGGAACTTGCATGGAATGCGCATGCAGGATCAAAAAACATACGCGTGCATAATAGGATCAGGTCTCTGGGAGGAAAGCAGTACTGCAACGCCGCTCGGAAGCCAAACTGCTGTTTCTGAATATTGCAATGTACGGCAAATTCGAGTCGTGCCGACTTCGGCGTTGGTTTCGGACACCGCGGGGACCGTTCGACCTTTGAGCAGGGACCGACCGTCCCGGCATTCCTATAGGCCTACCACGATATTTCATCAGAACCCAAAAACGTTCAAAAAAACAGCAATGTCTTAGCACATAAGCCCTACGTGTTAAAACACGACAGTCTCAGCCAGAAATGTGCTGAGAACATTCCGTGCAAACCACAAAAAAAAGTTCTTAGAGCATTGTTTGGTGGGCCCATCGGCGAGCCAGGACGCTTCGCCACTGCTTGAAACCTTGAACTGGCTACCTACCAGACCACCCCAACCCAACCCGAAGACCCGAGTTTGACCCGAATTTCGGGTTGGGGGGGGTACGGATTCCATGTGTTTTTTCAATGTTCCCCGACCCCCCCCCCACTGGAAATCGAGGAAAAATTTGGGCCTTCGGGTTGGGTTGGGGTGGTTTGGTGGGTGGTGATGAACGGCCGGCCGTTTCCGAGTCGCCAATCCGTTCAGCATCGACCGATTCTACGTCGCCGGCGGCGCTGCACGCCGAACGCCGGCAGCGGCGCCGCCGCCCGACGGCACGGCACCACGGACCTACGGTCATTCTCCTGCCCCCGACTGGGGCTCAGCCTGAGCTACACCGACCAGACCGTCAACCTGTTCAACATAAAGTCGACAGAATCCCCCCCAGAATAACCAATCCGACACGCGAAGTCGTTTAGTGAACGCGCCCCAAGAAGGAATCAACTAGGGCAGGGCTGTTTAGTAAACGCCCAGGGCCGTTTAGCAAACGCCAGTCGGTCGGGTCTGGGTGGCTTCTCCTCCCTTGATAGCAGGCAGCACCCGGCTCGATCATCACAGCCACAGCTAGCATGGGACCAGACAGAGGTCAAACGACGACGAACCACCAGGACCTTGACGCAAGCAGATCTCCAAACGAAAAAGCAACACAACCGACAGGAACATACATATATCTATATAGATATAGATATATATATATATATATATATATCACAACGACTCCTTGGGCGGCCCCCAAAGCTAATTACGTCCCGACACGGATGCCCCGCCGTGCGCCACCCCCCCAGCCTCGAGACTCGACGGCGCGGGGATCCGAGGCGGCGGCGCACCTCTGGCCTCCTCCCTTCCTCCTCCTCCGCCTCCGCCTCCGCCTCCTCCGCCTCCGCCTCCTCCTCCGCCTCCGCCTCATCCTCCGCCTCCGCCTCCTCCTCCGCCTCCGCCTCCGCCTCCTCCTCCGCCTCCTCCTCCTCCTCCTCCTCCTCCTCCTCCTCCTCCTCCTCCTCCTCCTCCTCCTCCTCCCCCTCCCCCGTCCATCCTGTGATGTTGGGTCCTCGTTTGAAGAAACAACGCCCCGCGTACCTCTCCTGTCCTTTCCTCCTCCTCCTCCTGCTCCTCCTTTCTCCTCCTCCTCTTCCTCCTCCTCCTCCTCCTCCTCCTCTTCCTCCTCTGCCTCCTCTCCTCCTCCACCCTCCTCCTCCACCTCCCCTCCTCCTCTCCTCCTCCTCCTCTCCTCCTCCTCCTCCTCCTCCTCCTCCTCCTCCTCCTCCTCCCCCCCCCTCCCCCGTCTCGGCTCGGCCTTGGGGCTCCCGGCCGAGGGGGGGCGGAGTCGCCCGCCCCGGCGGACAAAGGAACAGAACGCCACCCATGGCGCAGGGGCCCGGAGCTGCGCGCGGCGCTCCGACGGGGCGTGCTGCTGACGCTCCTCCCGCCTCGACCCCCCGCGCCCCCGGCCGAGGGCGACGCCGACGTCGCCAGCGCCGTTGGCGGGGGCGGCGCGGGCGTGGAGGCGGCGCCGAGGAGGCTGGCCCCGCGGGGGGCGGGGGAGGAAGGAGAGGGTGGGAGGCGGCAGCGGAGCGGAGTCGGCGGCACGCGCCGCCGACGGCGGGTCGGCAGGCAGGTCCGCGGTGGACGCGGCCGCAGGCTCCTCGGCAGCGTGAGGCCTCCACGCCGCGCGGGCGGCGACGAGCGGGCGAGTGGGCTGCTGGGGGGGGCCTCTGCACCAGAAGGCTGGAGCGCACACGTCTTGATCAGCGGCGAGCTTGATCCAGCAGGCGGCCAAGCCAGCGGCGGGGCGCGTCCGGATGGAAGTGTGGGCACACACGCGGGGGACGGCAGGAGGGAAAGGGTGGGGGAGGGCCGCGGGACGGCCAGGGCACCCCCAGAAGGCGAAGAACTTCGGGACGTACCAGAAGCTGCAGGGCACACACACACACACACACACACACGGCTGGATTCAGACGTGGAGGCGCGGCCTGCAGGGCATTGCAAGGGCCGAGCGCTAACGAGACCTCTGGCCAGATGCGCATCCACCTCTCGCCCAGGGCGGCCGCATCACATGTACCCAGCCTCCCGGCACAGTGCGGCTGGATCGTCAGGATGCGAGACAGGGACGCAGGGTCCCTAGACGACCAAACTGAGGCCAGGGTTGAAAGCCCATGGCCCACGGCTGAGGGCCAGGAGGGGTCGAGAGGCCAGGGCGCAGCGGCACCCTTGGAAGACTACTCGTCGCTGTGATGCGGGTTGACGCGTACCCCGAGACCCGACGCTGCGAAAGACTGCAACGTCGTGAACAACCACACCATGGAGCCCCGGACCCCACCTCCGTGCCGCAGCTTCCGGGCTGCATCGATCTGTGATGGCCCTGCGGCCAGGTGCTGGGCGAAGACAGCCCGTCTGAGAAGGCTGCAGCGCCCGGATCTCAGACGCGGGGGACTCGAGAGGGTGCCTGTGCTGGCCCCCTCCGGAGGGTATGCAAGCCCCACGCCGCGCGCTAAAGCAAGCACGCCTGCGCTCGCCCTTTTCCGCTCTCCTCCTCCTCCTCCTCCTCCTCCTCCTCCTCCTCCTCATAATCATCGTCTTCAATATCCTGCTTTCTCCGCCTCCTGCCGTTGACCGAAACCTGCTAATCCTCCTCCTCCTCCTGCTCCTCCTCCTTCTCCTCACAACCATCATCATTACCAGCAGCGGCAGCAGCACCACCACCACCAACACCACCACCACCACCACCACCATCATCATCATCATCATCATCATCATCATCATCATCATCATCATCATCATCATCATCATCATCATCATCATCATCGTCATCATCATCATCATCATCATCATCATCATCATCATCGTCATCATCATCATCAGCAGCAGCATCATCAGCAGCAGCAGCCGCAGCATCGTCATCATCATCATCATCATCAGCATCATCATCATCATCGTCATTCTCATCATCCTCATCATCCTCATCATCATCATCATCATCATCATCATCATCATCATCATGACCACCATCATCATCATCATCATCAGCATCATCATCATCATCAGCATCATCATCACCGTGAGCAGCATCCTTTCCATAATTATCGTCATCACGCACTATCCTCATCACCAACGGCAGTATCATGGTCATGATCATCCTCCCCCATGGTACAACATCATCGAAGTTATCAACATCACCATCATACTCATCAACATAAACAACATCATCACTACCGTCGTCATCGATATTCTTGTCGTCGTCATCAGTATCTTCATCGCATCATCATCAGCAACATCATCATCACCATCATCATCACCACCATCACCACCGTCGCCCTCACCACCACCCTCAGCACCATCATCATCATCATCATCACCACCATCATCAGCATCATCAACATCAACATCAACATCATCACCATCATCACCACTACCATTCCCATCATCATCATCATCATCATCATCATCATCATCATCATCATCATCATCATCATCATCATCACCAGCAACATCATCATCGCTTTCCCAATACCTCATCCACCTCCTCAGACCTCTGACGTCATGATCTCTGTTCTGGCCAGGGCGCCCTGGAGCTCTCTAAACCCTCGGGAACCATTCGTCGCAGGCCGCTCCCGTGCGGTTCCTGAGCTCAGGAAGCGGTTGCCGAGAACCACAAAAACTGCCGTGACTGATAAAGATGAATAAGAAGAAAAAAAGAAAAACAAAAAATCCCTCCCCTCCTCTCCTCCTCCTCCACTTCCTTCTCCTCCTCTACCTCCTCCTCTTCTTCCTCCTCCTTCCCACTTGGGCATCAGCCGCAACCTCTCTCTCTCTCTCTCATCGTCGTCATCATCGCCTTTCTTGCATCCTCATGCTTTCCCCCTCCCAGCTTAAATATTTCGGCGTCGACGGTCCTTGGAGAACATCGTCAGCTCAGCTGCCTTCCTGTTCCACTCGGTGACGTGGCCGTCCAGGTTGACCCCGAAGATGGGGGCGTTGGCAGTCTCGATCAGCCGCGAGAGGTCTCGAGGAAAGGCGCTCGTTGCATTGACTAGTCCAGTACATCCCCGGTCCTGCCTACTCTCCACTGACGAGGTAAAGAGACAAAGAGAGAGAAGGGATGTGGACAAGGCAATATCAAACAATTTGCGCGTGGGTGCATGTGCACGACCTCCGCACGTCAGCGTATGAATACTCGAGTAGAGGTTATGTGTCTGCCGTTGTGTAGATCGTGACTGCGCGTGCATCGGCATCTAGCTATTGTTACGTGCGTTTTACCTCAAATCTGGAATCGAAGCGCCATCGGCAACTGCTTGCACATTAACACTGCGCGGCGGAATTCCAATGGGGGGTGCTATTCAATAAAGTGTAGCAGAAGCCTGCCTTGGCACATGCGTCGATACCCATGCAACACTTCAGCCTGGGGAAAAGGATAACGCCTGCAATGCCTCCATATACAGAACGCGCGTCAACCATTCAACGCTACCGGTACTGAAAGCCGGGAAAGCGGCTGGCGAATCGGAGCACACAATATCAAAACAGCTGAACACGCGACTAGGCCAGAAACTGCAATAATCAACGGATGAAAAACAAAACATGAAAGACTCCTTCAGCAATGTGCTTGTTGTCCGTGAGCGCTTTTCGCATACTGGTAATGTCCTGGCCCACCCCCACAACTCCAGTAACGTTACCATTGGCGTCGCGCCTGGTAGTGGCATTCAGAAGGATGTCAATTCTTCGGCCATCTCTTGTCACCAGCGGGAACTCGAAGTTGGCTGTTTCCATGCCAGAGCAGGCTTGTGTCAAGACTGACTGAACCTGCGCTTTGTAGTCATCGGTTGTAAATTCGTCAACCAGGTTCTTCCCCATGGTCTGCTCCTTGGAATACAGAGTCAGCTCAGCTGCATTTCTGTTCCACTCAGTTACCCGGCCGTCAACATCAACACCGAAAATAGGAGCGTTAGCTGTCTCAATCAGCCGTGAGAGATCATCAGCGATAGTCTTGCTCTCGGTGAGAGCTTTTCGCAAGTTCGTAATGTCTTGCCCGACTCCCACAACACCCGTGACAGTGCCCTGGGCATCACGGCGGGGCGTGGCGTTCAGCAGGATGTCGACCTGGCGGCCGTCCTTCGTTTCTAGCGGGAACTCGAAGTTGGCAGTCTCAGACCCCGCGATGGCCTGATTCAGCACGGTCTGGACCTGGCTCCGGTAGTCTGGTGTGATGAAATCGTCGGTGAGAACCCTCCCCATTGTCTCCTCTCGGGGAGACGTAAGACCCGGGTACGGGGGACTCGGAAATCCCCGACGAGGTCGTCAAAAAAATGACGAGGCCGGGCCTGCATTTTGACGAGGCCTCCCGCTGCGGACATCCCACGAAACTCCTCCTCGTCAGAATCCGAGTCGCGGATAACAACGATAACAACGATAACGAAAACAACGATAACAACGATCACAACGATAACAACGATAACAACGATAATAACGATAACATCGTCTCCTCTTTCGAGTACATGGTCAGGTCCGCCGCCTTCCGGTTCCACTCCGTGACACGGCCATCCACGCCCACGCCGAAGATGGGGGCGTTGGCGGTCTCGATCAGCCGCGAGAGGTCCTCCGCCACCGTCTTGCTGGCGGTGAGGGCCTTGCGCATGTCCGTGATGTCCTGCCCGACGCCCACCACACCTGCGACGGCGGCTTCCAACAAGACCCCCAGACCTCGCCTGCCCCTCGCGGGCCGCTCCCTCGGCGGCGGGGGCCGATTTTTCAAGCCCCCTCGGCGCCCCCGTGAGCAGGCCTCCGTGGGCGAGCAGACGACACGTGGGCCGGAGCAGCAACGGCGCCCGCTCTGGCTACCACCCCCTCCAAAAGCGAAGACGGGACGGCCGCACAGGCCCAAGTACGCTCTCCGACCCTCGATCGCCGACGTGCGCACACGCAGCGGCCCACGGAGAGCGGGGTGCCCGCGGACCCCCTCCTCCGTCAGATGGTTGGGGTGCCTTTTCTGGGCTCTCGCACGGCGGCCGTCTGCGGGCGCCTCGCAAGGGGCTCTCAGCGCTGGCTCGTGCCTCCGGTTCCTGCGTCCCCGACGGCCGCCCGCGGCCGCCCGGGGGCGCCCGCGGGCGCCGCGGGCGCTGGCGGACGCTTCCAATCCATCTCCTAGCTGCCGCCCGTGGGCGCCTCGTGGACACCGCGTGCGCTGGCATGGGGTGCTCCTCGTGCGCCGGCCGCGCCACGCGCCTTGCACCACGCAGCTTCCGCCGCACAGCCTGCGCCACACAGATTGCACCATGCAGACGCCAGCACGCGGTGGGCACCTCAAGAGCGCGCAAGCTCCGCGTTCGGGGTCCACGCTGGCAAGGATTCCCAGTCCACGCAGCTTGGAGCACGAAGGCGGAAGGCACCTGTGACATTGCCCTGGGCGTCGCGGCGAGTGGTGGCGTTGAGCAGGATGTCGATCTGGTGCCCGTCCTTCGTCATCAGGGGGAACTGGAAGTTCGCGGTCTCCGCACCTCTGAATTCGAGGGGCAACGTTGGGGGGGGGGGGCTGCTCAAGGGGGGGGGGGGGAACATCGACCTGGAATCGGCGAGACGCTGCCGAGAGATCGGCGACAGGCCCCCGAGCGCGAATCCGGATGGTCCTGCGCGAGTTGCGCTCTCTCGGGCCCCCCGTCGGCGACGAGTAGCCGCTGGGGTGATGGGCCTGTTTTCCACCACCACCAACCACCATAAGTTGGAGGGGGAGGGGGCCCTCGGTCCTCCTCCTCCTCCTCCTCCTCCTCCTCCTCCTCTTCGTCCTCCTCCTCGTCCTCCTCCTCGTCCTCCTCATCCTCCTCCTCCTCCTCCTCCTCCTCCTCCTCGTCCGCCGCCCCCTTCCCCCCTCCAACTGATGGTGGTGGTGGTGGAAAACAGGCCCATCCGCTGGGGGGTCAGGGCGTCCCCCTCTCGAGCCCATCCCCCCCCCCCCTGGCACTGCCCCCCGAGGATTCCGTCCGTCGATGGGGGCGTCCCCCGGGGGGGGGGGTGCGGGCGTCCAGGGGCGGGGGGGCCCGGGGGCGCAGAACATGGCCGGCGGCATGTGCGCGGCGTGGCCGCAAGGGGGGGGGGGGCTGGGGACGCATCGAAATGCAGGCAAGGAGAGGATCAGGATAGCTAGCATTCATCGATTCTGGGCTGGCTTGGCTGGCTTCCTGGACATTTCTGGAAGGAGGCCTGGGCCGATCTCTGGTGTCAGCGCTGGCGGGGCGAACGTGCTCAAGGAACTGGGCCAGCTCTCTGGCAAGTGTTTCAAGAAACGCGGGCCCAGATTTTAGGGGAGAAGAGGTTTCTGAATCATATGCTCGACTGTAAGATCAGGCGCCATGAAACCTGAGGAGATATCATGGCCCCCGCCATCATATCCACTCCACTCCCCCTACAGTGCGGACCCGGCCGTAAGAGACTTCCTCGCAAGCAATCCAAGACTGAAAACTTGCGCGGGAGCTGCATCTATGAGAAAAAACACCCAGAGCACCCTGGACGCAGCAGCTTCCTCCACGGCCGCGGGAAATCACCGCGCAGCGTGCGGAGCGAAAAAACCTGGTAGTCCTCACGCGCCTCTTGGCCGCTCCCGAGTCTCCCTGAGGGGCGACGATAGGGGAGGACTGGCATGGGGGGGGATGCATCGGCCCAGAATCGGCGAGACATCCCCGATAGATCGGCGATAGGCCTGCGATCGTGAATCCGCACCTTCCTGGACAGGCTGAGGCTATCGGGCCCCAGGGCCGTAGGCGACCCGAGGAGGAGGAGGAGGAGGAGGAGGAGGAGGAGGAGGAGGAGGAGGAGGAGGAGGCGGAGGAGGAGGAGGAGGAGGAGGAGGAGGAGGAGGGGAGGAGGAGGAGGAGGAGGAGGAGGAGGAGGAGGAGGAGGAGTCGGGGGAGGAGTAGGAGGAGGGAGGAGGAGGAGAGGAGGAGGAGGAGGAGGGGAGGAGGAGGAGGAGGAGGAGGAGGATGGGGAGGAGGATGGGGAGGAGGAGGAGGAGGAGGAGGAGGAGGAGGAGGAGGAGGAGGAGGAGAAAGAGGAGGAGGAGGAGGACGGGTCGCCTAAGCCCTTCGGAGAGGCCCTCCACCGTTGCCCCCGATCTCGGCCGCCCCCAAAGCCTCCCCCGATGCCCCCCATGCTCCTCCGGCCCTGCTCCGGCGCGCTCTGCGCCAGGAGGGCTCCCCGCGCGAGCGCGAGCGCGCGGGAACCGGGGTGCCCGACGCGGGCGCCCCTCTCGGGAGGGGCGGGAGGGCAGGAGCACGACGTGGGCCGACAGGGGGTTCCTCCGAAGGGGCCCAGGTGCGGCCGGGAGCGGCGCGGCCCCGCGGAGGCGCCGGCAGGTCGGCCGAGAGGCCGACCGCCGACGCTCGTGCACACCCCTGTTGCGCCGGCGGCGAGGCAGGGGTCGTCTGCGCTAGCGCGGAGAGGCCGAAACGGGGGCGCTGCAGGAGCGAAGGGCGCCACCATGCGGCAGGGGGGAGAGAGGTGGAGCGAGGCCGCGGCCGAAAGAGCGGGCGGGGGGACGCTCGTGCACACCCACACACGGAGCGGGGGCGAGGACGCTGTCGGGTGGGGCTCTCTGAGTCCCGGCGGCTCGGGAGGAGGTCTCGGGCGCCGCGGCCGGAGAGGGCTCCGGAGCGCTCTGGGCCGGACCCCTCCCCGCCCGGGCCCCGCCCGCGTCCCCCCGCCAGGGCGCGCGCCCGGCGCCCGCACCCCGCGAGCGGCGGGCTCGCCGCCGCGCGGCGGGGCGCAGCGTGGGCGCGCTGCTGCCGACCGGCGCCGTGGTGCCCTCCGGCGAGGGCGCGCGGCCTCGAGCCGAGCAGGCGGCCGGCTCGCCTCGTGACGTGCGGCTGCCCGCGCGGTGCGGCCCGCGACGCCCCGGCCGCGGAGCACACGCACGCGAGGCGCCTGCCGTGAGCGAGCGCCCCGCGCCCTGTGGGAGGGCCCCTGCCGCTCCCCGGCGGCCTGCGCTCTCCTCCAGGCCTCTGCTCTCTGCCCTGCCCGTCGCCGCCCTCGGCCCGGCGCCCCCGACCTCGGTGGGGGAGGGGGAGGAGGAGGAGGAGGAGGAGGAGGAGGAGGAGGAGGAGGAGGAGGAGGAGGAGGAGGAGGAGGAGGAGGAGGAGGAGTTGCGAGTTGAAAGCTATCCCACGTAGTGGTCGAAACGAACGGATTACAAGCGACAGCGTTGCTCAGCCTGACTAAGCACCTCGGGCCACTTGCCGACTTCAAGTCTGGAAAGGTACTCCTTCCTATGAGGAGCTACGTGCTTGCAACAAGGTTTGGCCAACTCTCTCAACTGCTGATGAGCGAAGTGGCCGCACCCCGAGCAAAACCAAACCTTCTGAGCATTCGAGAGCCGCATTCTGTGCGACCTGTCTACCCACCCCCCAGCCACGTGGAGCCGCCCCCCCATCGGAAGGCCTCTGAACTTATCAGAAACAAAAGCTGGTTCGAAGCAAGGAGAGGGGAGCCACTCAGACAATTTTGCTCTCGAGGCAGAACCGAAACATCTGGTACACCTCCGCCCACACTCGTCCAGGCGATGCTCCGACACAAAAGCACGGACGACCGAGGGAGCGGGAGGAGGAGGGGGAGGAGGGCCCTTCACCCTCGGGGGCGCTCCGCAACGCTCCTCGGCCTGCAGCGTGTCCAGGCTGGCCCTCAGGAGGCGGTGCCTGACGAGCCACGCCGTTCGCTCGATCATCAGGATGGAAGCCCGAACCTCGTCGGACAATCTGCATGCTTCAGCCACCTGCACGGCCAACTCATCTACACAGTGATTGCCAACAGCTAACCAGGATGGGATACCCGCATCAACGATTTGCTCGCCCGTGAGGTGGGAATTGACGAACAGCACGGAAACCTGTCCCCTCCGAAGTTTAAGCTGACCTCCGATGACATTCCAGAGATCCTTGTTGGCCCCATGGGGCCGTGCATGCATCTGCTCATGAAACCCTTTTGTGACCGCCTCACAATCCGTCACATAAACCAAATGGTCCTCAGTACACTCCAAGGCCAAAAGAAAAGCTCTGATTTCCCCTCTGGGAACAGACTGCACACGCCCTGCAAGTGGGCCTTGGACAGAAGCACGAATGACACACGGAGAAAAAGCACTCAGCATAGTAATTGCAATGCCAACCCTCATGAACCTGGGATCTCCAGAGTCCTTGCCTCCAGAAGCATCTCCAAAGACAATCAAGGGATGCGCCTCAGTGCCCTTCCCCAGACATCCAGGTGGTTCTGTCGATTTGGTGCCGACCAGATGCCACGTCTCCTCCATGGGTGGCGGAGGTACAGCGGTCCACCTGGCTGGGATTATCCCCCGCAGCCAAAAACAGGGCTCGGCTTCGTGTTGCGCATATGCAGCGCAAAGGAGATGTTCTGAATCGTCATAAGCCTGGGCCCCCCGATTTTCAGAACACCCCCAACACCTGTGAAACTGAGTTTCGGGCTCAGTGGAGCACCTGGGACATAAAACCTCATGTTCACCCGAGATTTCATCTTGCTGCCTCTGACGCGGCCAGGACCCACCAGTTGCAATCGAAACCATCATCTCAGCCAGTCGCGTGCCCTGCCGAACGGACTGGAGCTGCTGAATGAGTCTCCGCAGCGACAAATTATCAACTCCAAACTGCACTCCTTCGCCGCAAAAATGGCGGGCAGCCTCGCGCCACAACTTGGCTTGAATAGTAGCTCCAAAGTCCTCCAGCAGGGGCTCAGGATCGTCGTCCAAAATGTTTCCAGAAAGCTCTGAAGGGGGGAATCTCCACATCTCCAGGTCCCCTTCATGGTCCTCTGGGGCCTTCCAAAGCCAAGGTTGCTCAGGATTCCACCCAGCCTCCAGAAGATGTAAAATAACAGCTCCCGTGGGACCGCGGACCAGCCGTGAACGTTGACCTGCTGGAGCTTCCCGCATGCGCTGCAGGATCTTCGGCCACGCTAGCATGATGCCCTGCCGTATTGTTGGCAAGGTCAAAAACTGCTGCAGCCAAAGACGGAGACATGCCTTGGGAAGTGTGTATCCTGGATCTCCTCCTGGACTACGTAAGTCGAGCAACGTGGTTAAACATCGCCCCCTCTTCCCTGATCCGCAGGCATGCCCCATCTGGCGCCGAGTTCTCGTGAGATGAGTGCCGAATACTCCATGGAGCTCATGCCCATATAGCCCTGCAGCCATGGTGCCAGCACGTGTAAGTTTACTGGTAATATGATATATTTTGCCAGCACGTGCGAATCGAACTACTTTGTTGTGCATGGTGACGGCTTTTTGAACACGTTTGACCCTTTGCTGTCGCACATGCCGTTTGCCCCCACCCATATCCACACCCAAATAAACTGCCCGAGTGCACGGCTTGACGTGAAAACCTGCCTTTCGAAGCTGCTCTGAAACGAACTGCGCATCTGCCAGATGGGTGCATAGCACCACGCTCTTAGGTGAGACGGTGAGGCTCTCGCTGGTGAGGGCGCGACATGTGTCCAAGAGGCCTTGGGCGAGCGAAAGTCTGATCGCGCGCCGTGAGCCTCGTGCCCGTTGGGGCAAGTCGTCGACCCAAATTCTAGTGCCCATAGCTGGGTGAGCGACAGTGACACGAGATAAAATATAATACGTCAAACATCTGGCAAATCGAGTGCCTCCTCGGAGGCCCTGCACAATGGAATGAGCAGGTAGTATAGGGTCGGCGCAGGCCCCGCTTTGCCCCAACGACCGTGGCATGATACACTGCAACAATTCGAGATACAGAATTACTGGCGGGCACCCCAACCTTAAAGCCGTTGGTATAAGTAGAAACCATTCCATGGAATCGTAAAATCCCTGAATGTCCAGGAGACCATGACCCGTGGGAATGCCGAGAGCCCCTGATACTTCCTCCTCGCAAACTCGCAAAAAGGCTTCCCGAAGGGCAGCGTTGTCCTGAATCGCTGCATCCCACATGGGCTCGGACTCAGAAACCCAAGTCTTAACATGTGGCTCTCTGGCTAGGCTCCATATTCGGGCTATCATCGAAAGGAGCCCGATGACACGATCCCCTGAGACTTTCTTCGGTAAAAGCCGCCCAATAGTGAGCCCAAGTTGTACTGGCCAAACAAGTGTCTCTTCATTGACGGCATATAGTTGAGATAGCTCAGTTAATGCAATGCCGGGCATCCTTTCGACATCGGTTGGGCTTTAAACATCCGCACCTTGCCCAGCTCGTGCCTTCATGGCGTGAGCCGCTTGCCGAATCTCGCGAACAGAGAGCACATCCAGCGGGTCGTCACGAGCCGCTTCGCGTGCCACTGCAAAAGCGTGAATGATCTTCATATCTGTCTCAGCTGAGGCTGGTTTGGTCCAGAGGTCCCGAAATGGTTTGGCCCGCAGGTCCACAACGTCCCGAGGTTGAAATACCACCGTAGCCCCTTGGATGATTTCTTCCGAAGGTACAGGGTCCTGCCTCATAGCTTTATGCAAAACGCCTGCCGCCGTGGGAACACCCATCCATTCTTTAAACTCGGCTAGAGAAGCCCGTAGAGCACGAGCACGGCATCTCGCGGCGATCTTCTTTGCGGCGCCTACCAACAGCTGCAGCTTATCCTGGGTGACCTGACTGGCACTGGACATCAACAGTTGTTTCCAAACCTCCCAAGACGGGTCCGAACCAACCCGAAGTCCCCGATGACCGTCGTCAGGAGCCTGGTCCCCTAGGTGTTTACATGCTTGCTCAAGTTGCTGCTGCTGAATGAGACCGTTGGCGCGAGCTCGATGATTGTGCAATCTTTGAAGAACCGTGTGTGTCTTTTCCCACCAGGATGCAAGCCGATCACGATACGGAACCGCCCGACTCTTGGCTGGTAAACGTACTTCCTGTACCACAAAGCGATACCCACGAGCTCGCCCCAAAGATGGGGGCCCCTCCACTCCATGATGCACATAGATCGTCCGTTCGAGCGCGGTGACCCAAGACGCATACAACGCCGAGACATCCTGGATTGAACCATGCTCAAGCCTAGCGGCTACGGAAGAAGCAAAAGCAGCAGGAGGGGTGCAATCACTGGAGGGGAACAGCCCGACTTCGGATCGCTCTTGGATCCAGGTCTCAGCTGGGATATAGAACGACACTGGGCTCACTTCCTGACTTGGGGGGGGGCGGCTCTTGAAACTCGCTGGGGAATGGGGGTATGAATTCACCGACTGGCTCACCAACGGACGATTCATGTGCATCAGGAGTGACGAGGCCCCAAGTGATGGACGGTGCATACTGAGGTAACGTGAAAACATGCGGCGCCTCTGGGTTCCATACCCAAGGGCGCTCGTCGATCTGCTGACTAACCTGCTGCTGAGGGAAAGAGGCACATTCGGCTTGTGTGCCGAGCGTGGGCTCCGCCCCAGGTCCAACAGTCCCAGACCCGCTACCTGAGGGCCCCGGGAGACCGTCAAGAGCGGATGAGGGAACCTTTGCACCCAGATCGACATCAGGACAGAAATTGAGCTCCGACGCCCAAGGATCTTCTTCAAACTGCTCGAATTCCTCGGGTCCCAAGTCTGGCTCGCGGTCGGGCTCAGCATCTGCAGCAATGCTAGCAGCAGCCGAGGCATCGGTGTGCTCTGGCCATAAATCACCAAAGAGCCCGTCGTGGCGCTCCTGACGCTTGACCTTGGCTGCTTGCATTCGGACCGACCGCTGCTGCTTCTGAACTTGGGTCTTGGATCCTAGGGTGGGCGCCTGGCTGGGCCTCGCGACCTGGGGTAGTCGTGCAGGTAGCGACAAGCACCCCGTGATAAGTTGTTTGCCTGATGAACGCATGGTGATACGGAGGCCGCAGTGTGTCTTCCACGGCACTGCCATCACAGCTTCGACGCGGGCTAGGTAAGCCACAGCCGAGTGAGACCTGACAATATAATCAATGTGACTGCCTTCCCTGCCCGCGTCGCACGTGTATTCCACGGGCGCCTTGACTACCACACCGCCTACGCGAGTGAGAAAGTCAGACGATTGCAAGATATCCGCAGGCACATTGTACTCGCCGACGGCAACCCACGGGAGCTGCAGTGACGATAAAAAGGCGCCTAAGCGATTAAATATCTGCACGTTATCGCCTGCGGGGCCCACTGCCGTGAGCCCATAACATGTGACAAGTACGTAAGAATATCCAGACATGTGTACGAGGGCAGCACTAAATCCGTCTGTTGCGGCCTGTCCGTCGGCCTGAAAATCAGCAAGAGCTAACTGAGGCATCATTGAGTGGGCCTGAAGATGTCCCGACGCCAGGACCCACTCCCCTCCCTCAGTAGCTCGCTCGGCGCCCTGAGCTGTGCAAGCGCGACCTGTGAGCCTAGCAGGATTAGCGAAGACTTTGAGTTTCGCTTTGCGAGCTTTGGGCAGCCAATCTCTAGACAAGGAAGTACTGGAGACATGAGTCTTGGCAAGACAATAGAAATCAAAAGCGCGGCGCTCACATGCCTCCTGAATGAACTGCCACACCTTCTCCCCCATGGCGGTGATGTTGCCATACAAGATGTGAGTGAAATCATTCTCCCCTGGCCGTGAGCGCGAGCAATACGGCTTCGACGAAGAAGCCTCCTTCAATGATGTTCTGCGTGAGGTACAAGAATCTGCCGATTCTACAGATAGTCAAGATGAGACTGTGCCCCCTTGCGTCTGCTTCTGCTGCTCACGCTCCTTCTGCTGCACCGCGGCGAACTTGGCCTGCGAGATCCGCTCGGCCTCGGCCTGGATGCGGGCTGCGCGCTCCTCGGCTGCTGCATCAGGATGCGCCGAGGGCGCTGCGCCCTGTGGAGGAGCCTCCGTGGCGCCGCCCGCAGCGCTGCTGTCACCAGCCGCGGCGGCGGCCGCGGGGGAGTCCACGTCTGGCTTCCTCTTCTTCTTGATCCGCTCCTGGATGTCAGCCTGCATCTTTTTGGCTTTCTCCACCCATGAAGCGACCTGATCCGCTTTTCCTTCCAACGTCTTCTGCGTGTCGGCAAGTTCCTGGCGGATCTTTAGCAATTCTTCTTTCTCATTCTGCTCGCAATCGAGGTCCTCGATGTCCCGAAATAGCTGCTCGTCCCAATGCAGACCGAAGGGTTTTTTCTGGCCCTCCTGCTGCGGCTGTGCTGCATCAGAGCGCCCACTGGCGATTCCCTCCTGGGACGCCAGCACCGCTGCGGCCTGCTTGCGAACTGCCTCGGCCTCCGCCACCTCGATCGCGAGCTTCTGCTCCTTGGCCTGCGCCGCCGCCAGGTTCTTCTGAAGCCGAGCGACCGCTTGGACCGATTGATCATGTCGATTGTTGACATCACGAAGGGCACCATCGGCACGCTGAAGGGCTTGCAACACCGACCCTGCAGAGCTGTGGCTGCTGGCCTCATGCGCCTCCTTGATATGTTGCTCAAGCCGCTGCCGCATGTGAGGGTCTTTTGCTGCCTTCAGTGCTGAGCGAAGATGGCTGACGACGTCGTCCTCCATGCCTTTACCTCTCGGTGAACTCTTGGGCGTGGATGTAGCACTGCCGCCACCTGCACTGGCGCCGTCGTCGAAAGACACCCTCTTCAGGATACTCTTCTTCGGGGATGGTACATATAACTTGACTTTACGTCCACATCGGCCGCACTTCATGTCTCTCTGCTCGAGCTTGTCATTGTATTCATTCTGCCCACAGCCCTTGCAACATGACCAGTGTCTGACCGACATGGCAACCGCGGATTCTGTCACCGCTCTGAGCTGACGCGCGGGCAGCGCGCCAACGGCAGCGGTGTGCCTCAAGCACCTCGGGCAGGTACCGCGGGTGGGCGAGCGAGCGGCCAAAATGGTGCTCGAGCCCAAGTTGCTTGAGAGGAGGAGGAGGAGGAGGAGGAGGAGGAGGAGGAGGAGGAGGGAGGAGGGAGGAGGAGGAGGAGGGGGGCGCCACGGGGGCGAGGGCGGCGGCCGGCGGCGGCGCCCCGCAGGTGGGGCCACAGCTGCGGGGCGCCGGGTGCCGCGTGCGCCTGCCGCACGGCCATCGCCCGCGGCCGCGGGCGCGCGTCCGCTGGCAGAGGCAGCGCGCACATGAGAGGAGTCCGCACAATGGGGCACCCGACACGTGCACCCGACGTCTCGGAGATCACCCTCGTGCTACAAGAAAAAAACGCCCAATCCTGAGCCAAGAGCCGTGTCTCGCCACGGTGAGCCTCGGCCACGGATAGGTCCACAGACCTAGGACCGGCCCGAGAACTAGAGCCCCTCCTGAGCCCAACGCGGTCCTTCTTTCTGCGTCTTCACTGCGCTGAGCTGCAAAGAGGGATCCGAATCATGGCGAGGGTTGTGTCACCGCTGTGCCCGCAGCGCCTGCGATTGCTTCAGTGAGCACCGTCTGGACTCGCTCCCTGTGCTCCTGCGTGATGAAGTCGTCCACCTGCGCGGCAAGGAAGCATCTCCACATCAGAAAATCTGGGGCTCGCCCCCGAGGCCGCGATGCCTCGTAAATTACACAAGATTCCTGCCTCCAGGGCCACGAGCCTGCAAGTTACGATGGAGTTGCGCCCCCGAGGCCACACTCTCTCGTGAGTTACGGCAGGTTCGCCTCGTAATGAAGGAAGCCCGTCTCTTCTGCGGAATCAGCTCTACGGCCCTGTGCCCACCCTCAACAATGCGGGGGGCTGAAACCCAGGGCCTGCCTGCTGGGCACTACCGACCACCCATTACCTCTGACACCAAGAGACTCGGCTCCAATGGCGGCAGCAACTTCAACGTTTAGGATACACTTCCCCGAGGCACCGAGACCGACGGGCAGCACGCGCAAAGAGGTGAGAGGGCAGAGACTTTTGGCTGAGGTGCCGGATGGAACTCTGCGTGGAGACCCCTGGGGAGTACGAAACACGAGGTTCACCGGGCGCACGATCAAAGGCAGAACTGCGCAGGTTGACACAAGTGGGGCAAAGACTTCTGGGGACGACGACTCCCCTCGCGCCCCGAGATCTTCTCGACGCCCCCCCCGAAAGGCCGGGACTCCTCCAGTCCGCCCTGCGACCCAAGCAGCGACCCCTCGTTTGATATGCTGGGTCGAACAACATAAAACCTTTGACAAATGCTGTCAAAACTGGCCATCGGATGCAGAGCATCCGCCAAGGCAGCAGCTCAAACGACCGTTACGAGTTGCACGCACGGTAACCGGACCAAGCCTGACACTGTCAAATCGGCAGCAGACTTGGAGCAAGATCCAGCCACTCTGACCAGCATCACACTGCGGGAGGAAACGAAGAACGACAGAGAGAGAGAGAGAGAGACATTGCGACAAGACTCGGGCACAGACATAGAGAAAAGTAGACAAAAGAGATCAATGGAGACAGAACTTGAGAGAGGTGGAGGAGAAGGAGGAGAGGGGGAGGAACAGAGAGAGTGGATGGGGATACGGAGAGTGATGGTGTGACAAGGTTAGGACAGCATACATACATGCAGAGAAAGAGGAGCCCGAATAACAATGATAATAAAGAAACAAACAGAAGAAAAAAAGAGATAGAGAGAGAGAGAGAAAGAGAGAGAGAGAGAGACAGAGATAGAGACAGAGATAGAGACAGAGAGACAGAGAGAGAGAGAGAGGAATCTAGATATGGGCGAGGGGAGAAGAAGGGACAGAGAGAGCGGATGGGAAGGGGAAGAGGGATAATTAGAGGGGGTGTAAAAGAGGAGGAGAGGGAGAGGGAGAGAGAGAGAGAGAGAGAGAGAAAGAAAGAGAAAGAGAGACATACACACAGAAACAAGTATATATGGACACACACACACACACATCAGAAGACTAAAGGGACATTCCAACACGGGGACGCAGCCGGTGACAGAGACCATGAACAAAAACGGAGAAGCAACGCACCCAGGCTGGCCCAGCAGGGCACGCCGACCCCTTCCGCAGGAGAGGCCGGGGCCGCGCGGCAGAAAAAGACCACACCGACGCGCTCCTCCGTGCCCCTCGCGCGTCCTCCTCTTCCGCGCCAGCAGTTGCCCGCGGCTCTTCCTCTCCGCCCTCCCGGCCTCCCGCCGCGCTCCCGCCTCCCCTCGCCCTCGCCCTCGACCTTCCTCGCCCTCGACCTTCCTCGCTCGCCCTCGCCCTCGACCTTCCTCGCTCCCCTCGCCCTCGCCCTCGACCCTCCTCGCGCCCTCCTCCCCGCCTCCCGCCCTCCCGCGTGCCGCGGGCGGGGCGGCCTGGACCAAGCAAGGGGGGAGGCTGAGGCCGGGGGGGGGGGGATGGGGAACACGAGGGAGGAGGAGGAGGAGGAGGAGCAGCAGCAGGAGGAGGGGGAGGAGGAGGAGGAGGAGGAGGAGGAGGAGGAGGAGGAGGAGGAGGAGGAGGAGGAGGAGTGGAGGGGCGGGAGGAGGAAGGCTGGGGGGGGGGGAGGGGAGGGGGGGGGGGGGCAAACGCGCTCCCACCCTGTCTGGCACCCTACGGGCTGCGTGCCACTGGAGGAGGTGGCGGATGGGCAGGAGGATGGGCAGGAGGAAGCGCAGGATGAGGAAGGAGGACGCACAGCAGCAGCGGGAGGAGCAGGAGGACCATGGGAACGGGGAGGAGGGGAACGGAGGAGGGCGGCAACGCTGGGGAAGGAAGACTCGGATCCAAAAAATAGTGCCCGCGCTGGGGCGACAGCACCATCCTGAACGACAGGAGCAAAGCGCCGATCCTAAGACGATGCCAACGCTGCAGAGGCAACACCACCTTCAGACACACCGAAGACGCTTCGATTGAAAACCCAATGTGTAGACTCGCGTTCGAAGCCCCGCGTGTAACGAAACACTACGCGGGCCCCTCCCCGGCAACTTTCTGGGGAGAGAGGTTCGCAGTACTCATACGAAGTACTTGTGAAAGTGGGGAGGGCAGGGAAGGGGAGGGTCGGTTGAAGGGGGGGACAAGAAGAAGAGGGGTGGGGGGAAGAAGGGATGGAGGGGCGGGACGCGGAGAGGGCGGAAGGGGAGGCGAGAGGACAGAAGGGGTGCGGGGAGAGGACGACGCATCAAGGAAGGGAGAACGCCAGCAGGCAGCTCCGCACTGTCAGCGGATCCCCCCCCCTCAGAAAACAAACCAAGGGTGAGTATCGTTTAACCGATCCCCATCCCCAGCGGCGTGGCCTGGGCCCCACTGGCCGATTTACCCCCCCTGGATGGGGATATAGGCCGTTCCCTTCGGGTTTCCAGGGGTGTATCCCCAACTGGGGGGACAATTAGGTTGGGGTCTCGAAGGGGATGGGGATTGGGATGGGGATCGGTTAAACGATACCGAAAGGAGGCACGTTTGGCCCGTATCCACCAGCAGCCGATGCATGGTCTCCTGCTTCGTGTACATGGTCAGCTCGGCCGCCTTCCGATTCCACTCCGTCACGCGGCCCTCGACACTGACGCCGAAGATGGGAGCGTTCGCGGTCTCGATCAGGCGGGAGAGGTCGTCTGCGACGGTCTTGCTCTCTGCGAGAGCGTTCCGCATGTTCGTGATGTCCTGGCCAACTCCAAGAACTCCTGTGATGTTGCCTTCAGCATCACGCGTCGTGGTCGCATTGAGTAGGATATCTACACGCCGCCCAGCCTTGGTCATTAAAGGGAACTCGAAGTTGGCCGTCTCGTTGCCCTGGCAGGCTTCGTTTAAAACATCCTGCACGCGCTCCTTGTGATCTTCTGTGATGAACTCTTCCACTAGAAGCCGCCCCAGTGTCTCGTCCTTTGTAGTCTTTGTCAGATCGGCTGCCTTCCGGTTCCACTCGGTCACGCGACCCTCCACGTTGACACCAAATATGGGAGCGTTGGCCGTATCGATTAGTCGGGAGAGGCTTTCTGCGAGACTCTTGGCCTCGTTCAGCGCCTTCTTCAAATTTGTAATGTCCTGCCCCACCCCGAGAACCCCTATGATCTTACCTTGGGCATCGCGCCGAGTTGAAGCATTGAGGAGGATGTCAACTCGCCTGCCTCCCTTAGTCATCAGAGGGAACTCGAAATTGGCCGTCTCCGCACCGGTGCATGCCTGAGTGAGGACAGCCTGCACTCGATCCCGGTGATCTTCAGTAATGAAGTCGTCCACAAGCTTCCTGCCAAGAGTCTCTTCCTTGGTGTACATTGACAAATCAGCGGCCTTGCGGTTCCACTCGGTGACACATCCGTCCGTACTCACCCCGAAGATCGGAGCGTTGGCCGTCTCGATCAGACGGAACAAACTATCTGCAAGATTTTTGCTCTCTTCTAATGCCCTCCGCATGCCTGTAATGTCCTGTCCGACACCTACGACACCCGTGATCATTCCCTGAGCATCGCGGCGGGGCGTGGCGTTGAGCAAGATGTCGACTCGCCTACCATCCTTGGTTTTCAGGGGTAGATCGAAGTTGGCTGTCTCCTGGCCTCGGCACGCTTGTGTCAGAACCAATTGGACACGGTCTTTGTGCTCGGAGCTGATGAAATCGTCTACCAGCGTCCGGCCCATGGTCTCCTCCTTGGTGTACATGGACAAATCAGCGGCCTTGCGGTTCCATTCGTTCACTTTGCCGTCCACGCTCACTCCAAAGATCGGAGCATTGGCCGTATCGATCAGGCGGGACAGACCCTCTGCAAGATTCTTGCTCTCCTCCAGTGCCTTGCGGAAGCTCGTGATGTCCTGCCCGACGCCGACGACGCCGCTGATCGCCCCCTGATCGTCACGCCGGGTGGTGGCGTTGAGCAGGATGTCGACGCGCTTGCCGTCCTTCGGGGATGGACAGACCCCCCTTTCGTAAAACGTGGTTTAGTGAAAACGACCTGAGGCCCAAACCTGACGGGCGCAGGCCTGGGAAATAACGGCCACGGCGCCCTCTCGAGAACCGAACACGGGCAATTCACTAATAGACGTGTCACTGTTGGGGGTTCTGTCCACCCCCGAGTCCTTCGTCATCAGGGGGAACTCGAAGTTCGCGGTCTCCGACCCTCGGCACGCCTTGGTCAGCACGGCCTGCACCCGCACCTTGTACTCCTGGGTGATGAACTCGTCGACGAGCTTCCTGCCCATTGTCTCCTCCTTCGTGTACATGGAGAGCTCCGCGGCCTCCCATCGGGCGCTGGCAGAACTGGGTTTAGTGGAACCTGGTTTAGTGATCTGTACCAGGGCCGCCCCCCCGTCCCGTTTCCACTAACCGGAACTGCCGTCACCCGAAAAAACACCAGCTACGGCAAACCTGGTTTAGTGATTCTGGCCAATTCATGGGCTCCGGGGCCCTACCACCAACCGGGTCCCCTTACCTGGGGTCCTGGCCATACCCGATCCGAAGCTCCCTCCCCAGCCCAGGCCAGGACCCATCAGCGCCGAATCGTGGCATCGGATCGGATCGACACGTGTGTCGGATCGGGCTGCAGCGGCAAGGACTCGAAACCGAACCGAATCGGCCGCGGCAGGATGCTTAGCAGCGCCATGTGAGAGCATCGGGCCGCATCGGATCGAAAGGACTCACGGCATCGAACCGGATCCGGCCGACTGAAATCAGCATCGAATCGGGTCGATCGGATCGAAACGGATCCTGCAGGCTGGCCGACGGCCTGATCCTTAGAACTCAGACTGCCCTCGACGACGACAACGACCTCCCCATCGACGGATCACGATCTGTCGCGTTCGTGATCGATGCATCGGTGGATCGATGGCCATGACCGATGGATCGATAGATCATGAGCGATGGATCGCGCCCGCGGCCTTCGCGTTCCACTCCGTGACGCAGCCCTCCACGCTGGAAGCCGCTTTGCAGTGCGGGCCGAGGACACGGGGCCCGGTGCCGACCCCAGCGCCCCGCACGGAGCTGTTTTTTGAAGACGGCATCCCCGCGGCGCCGGTTCTTCGGCTGTGCTCCCACCACTCTGGGACGCCGCCGGAGAGAGGGAGGGCAAAGGGAGGGAGGAAGAGGTACAGTCGGGGCCTTGACCTAAGGAACCCTACATAAGGAACGAGGCCCCTTTTTTCCATAAGTTGAACTTCGATTTCCGATCGAAAACATCAGGAAAGCCTGAGGCAAGCTGCGAAACACTCAAGGAACGCGGAGCCCCTCCCCAACGAAAAGGGTTCCTTCCTCAGGGCCCCGACTGTAGTCTTCACCCGCAGATGCCTCCCCCAACGCCTGCTCAGTCCACCGCTGACGTGTGGCCCGAAGACGTGGGTCAAACACGTCACGGAAGGCGGCGCGGAGCGAACTCCCTGCTAGGCTTGAGCATTCCGTGCTCTGAGGTCGCTGGCGCCTGGCAGGAGGCGGCGCTGAACAGCAAGCTCGCTACAGGCCGACACGTGGCTGTAGCTCAACCGATCCGACAGGCAGCGGTCCACCCGGATCGGTACGTGGCTAAACGACTGCTTGAGCAAACGGTGGCGCCGAAGCGGCGCTGGCGCAGCGGCGTGGGCAAGCGCCGGCAGTGGTGGCGAGACAGTGCAGCAGCGACAGAAGGCACGGCCCCGCCAGCCGAGGAGGGCGAGGGAAGCGAGGGGGGGGGAGGAGGAGGGGGGGGGGGGAGGAGGAGGGGGGGGGCAGGCCGCACGAGGCGATCACGCGAGAGGTGAGCAGAGCGGTCCACCTAAAGGGCTCCCCGCTGAGCTCAACCAGCCAGCGGGGAGCCCCTTAGGGAGGAAGGGAGGAAGGGAAGAGACAGAGACAGAGACAGAGAGGGAGGAAGGGAAGAGGAGGAAAGAGGGAGGGGAGGAAGGGAGGGAGGGAGGGAGGAAGGGAAGGAGGGGAGAGACAGAGACAGAGACAGAGGCAGAGGCAGAGACAGAGACGGAGAGGAGAGAGACACCGCTGCGGGCGATGGTCGTCCGGGCGCTGCCCGGGCTGGCGGCCAGCGGGGCGCACGCGCCTAACCCCCGTCGCCGGGGCGGGCTTGATGCTCGGGTCCCGATGCAGACCGCTAATGTCCTGATGTTGCCAGTGTTGAGCCCCAGTTCGGCTACACGCAGGAGTGACCCTGGGTAAGAGTGACCTTTGGTGCGCGGCTTTTTGGGGGCCGCGGGGGGGCCAAACCTGGGCGCGCAAGCCGCTGCTACCGCTTCGTTTTCAACAATCTGGGGACCCATCTGTGCCCGCACCAAAGGTCACTCCGGCGAAAGGTCACTCTTACGTCTAGTCGACCAGTGGGCACGCGTGCACCGGCGGCGAGGCGAGAGCTCTGGGTGCCACGGGGGCAGGGGGCGGCCCGGAGGAAACGGGGGCAGAGACGAAAAGGAGAGGGGAGCAGCCGAGCCTCCGCGCGCTCCCTCTCCCGGCCTCTGCCTCTTCCGGGCAGCCCCTCCCCCTCTCCCCCTCTCCCACTCCCCCCCCCTCTCTCTCCATCTCTCTTTTCTGTGTTCTCTAAAGAGAGAGAGAGAGAGAGAGAGAGAGAGAGAGAGAGGGGGAGAGAGAGAGAGAGAGAGAGAGAGAGAGAGAAAAAAAGAGAGAGAGACAGAGAGAACAACCAAAAATGAATGGAGAGAGAGAGAGAGAGAGAGAGAGAACAACAGCAACAACAACAACAACAACAGCAACAACAACAATTACTAGCACGTGGGGACACTCCGTTCTCACCAGTGCCAGGGTTTTCATACGACGCCCGCCAATACCCCCACTTTGTGGGGGGGCCGGTTCAAGCTCTACCACATTTCCAAACGACTCTTCGCCACCACCCACACCCAGCTTCCCGCCCTATGACGTTCGGACACTTCACTTCGTGGCCTGCGGACGACCGTGGCTACTACACTGGCGCATGGGTACAGTGACTTGTTGTGGTAACATTTTCTGGACGCTAGCTTAGTATACGACTTTTCCCCCTGTTCCAACACTGGACACCTGTACTGGTTTTTGGTGGTAACGTGTTCCTGACGCTACTGGTTTTGGTGGCAACGTGTTCCTGACACACGGACTTGTTGTGGTAACATGCCGACGACGATGACGACGACGACGCGACACGCGCGCATGTGTCCCGCATGGTATGTTTTGCAAGGGATTGTGGCCCCTGGCAGGCGCGCGAACGCCGTTGAAAGAGCTTGCGAAAGTAGCTCGCGCGAGCTCATGTAACATAAATGTTGAAAAACCATTGGTTTTTAAGGATTCGGACAGCGCGCGCGGGTAGAAATTTTGAAAATTCGTACAGATGTTTTTCGAGGACCTACGGTGCGATTCGTATGATTTTATGTTGCGCGGTGCTAAAATTCCTAAGAAACCCAATGGTTTTTGAAGATTTCGGCGTGCGCGCGCGAAGAAAAAACGAATGTGTCCCGCATGGTATTATTTGACAGGGATGATGGCCCTGGCAGGTGCGCAACCGTTGTCGCAGAAGTTCGAAAAAGTTGCTCGCAAAAGCCCGTTTGACAGAAATGTTTAAAAAGTGTTGGGTTTCCTACGAATCCGCAAGAGCGCGCGGGATGAGATTTTGACAATTTTTTGTTGAAAAACCATTGGTTTTTTGATGTTTTTATGTTAAAATCGCTACGAACACTAAGGTTTTGGAAGGATTTCGTCTTGCGCGCGCGAATGTCCACTTTACCTCATTTTTTGCAAGGGATTCTTGAAGTTTGGTTATGTTAGAACAAGAAATGTCCACTTTAGCTTATTTTTTGCAAGGGAAAACCGATCGTAACAAAACAACCGGATCCGGACCAACCCGTTTTGCCTGAGACTTCCTCACGAAAATGATGAAAATGTGGCTGCGGCCTAGGCGCGGCGGGGGGGCCGCGCACCAGGGGCCCCAACAATAATTATTCTTTAGAAGTAATAATGTTCAACAACAACAACAACAACACCAACACCAACAACAACAACACCACCACCACCACCACCAACAACAACAACAACAACAACCACAGCAACAACAACAACAACAACAACAACAACAACAACAACAACAACAGCACCAACACCAACAACAACAACAACAACAACAACAACAACAACAACACCACCACCACCAACAACAACAACAACAACGACAACAACAGCAACAACAGCAACAACAACAACAACCACAGGGCGAGCGAGCGAAGGCCCCCCGCGCGCTGCCACGAGCAGCGCGCGCTCGCCGAGGCCGCCAAGAGGCCCCCGACCGGCGCTTTCGGCGGCGCGGCAGGCGCGGGGCCGGGGCGCCCCCCGCCTGCCGCGCGGCGCCTGCTGCGCGGGAGGCCCCTCGCACGGGCGCGCGGCGGCGAGGCGCGGCCGTCGCCGACTGGACACGCCGCGCTGGGCAAAATTTTGGGGCATTTTGGGGATATTTTTGGGGGGTGGGAATTTTGACCTGTTCGGGGTATTTTGGGGGGGTGTTTTGAACTTTTCGTCGAAAATCCCTCTGTAGGCCACGGGACGCCCAGCGCAGAAGCCCGGCCCTGGACTGGCGCGCCCCACTGCTCGCAGGGCAACCGCTCGCGGGCGGCCTGGGCACGCCGCGCGGGAGCCACGATGCATTTTTCGCCGAAGCGAGCAAAAAGATGTTTCGGACGTTTGCGAGCAGGCACTGTGCGAGCAGTGTTGAGTCGGGCCTGTCCCCCTACAGGGGGATTTTCGACGAAACATTTAAAAAAATACCCCCAAAATAATCCAAAAATAATCCAAAGATAGTCTGGGGACCATGTTTCGAATATCTTTTGACCTGTTTGGGGTATTTTTGCGGGGTTTATTTTGAACTTTTCGTCGAACATCCCTCTGTA